TGTCAGTCTAAAGTTTCATCTGAGGAAGTGATTGCTTCAGCAAGTGCTGCCTCTTCTGTGTTGTTGTGGTCTTTGTCCTGTCCTAAAGTCGTAAGCTGTAGCAAGAGATTCCCAATCCTGAGCTTATTTTGCAGTAAATTGCCATTAGTGAAAGATTGTTAAACAATAGGGAAGATTTGATCGATGTTCTCTTTTGTGTACTACATTTTTGTACTACTATGAATTACATTCTTTGGCAAGTGGCATATCAGACATGTCAAGCATTTTTCTTTGCTTCTTTTTAGACAGTGAGAGATAATACTCATCTAAAAACATTTAAAGTGCATTTGTATTTGTCCTTTGGTGGCATCTACTGAACTTGGTCAGGGACAAGCACTATTAAACACTTGCTAAAACCTTGTTTGCAAAGGCAGCCCAGAACACAGTTTTGGAACAGTGCAGTCCTTTGCTTATTAACTCTTCTATTTCTTCTGTAAATTTTCATTAGCTTCCAGGCAGATGCAGCTTCAGTCCCTGTAGTGCATCAGTTGTAGAAACAACAGACCAAAAATATAAGGAGAACTTTTGTTTTTATGGGGTGTTATATAGTGTGCCGATTAAAAATCTTGACACATGTTGTGTCCTCACCAAAGCACAGGGAAAAACTACTTGAGAAAGATTGTTAACATTCAGTGCATAACTCCTGAAGGTAAAGGCAATGAGAGAGGAAGGAAGGAATGTTTGACCTTGAGTTTGAAACTGGATATCTAAATTGTCACACTGCTGCTGCTGCTGCTGCTCAGAAACCTCTTCCAGTTTTTTGTCATAGCTGCTTTAGCCTTCCCATCTGCAGTTCAGTGACATGAACAGTGTTGCCTCATGCCAGCATTGCTTTTTATCCTGGAAGTTGTCATTAAAATGGCACAGACATTCACCTTAAAAGAACATGTCCTCAGAACTTCAAGATTTATGTAAGAATTTAGGTGCTAGGCTTCTTTCTATAAAGCCCCATGTGGGCTGTTTTACACTGGGCCTACCTGTTAAGGACTTTGGTGTAACAAGCTGCCAGGCAGGAAGAGGATAGTTTTGTGGATCATCTTGCAGTACTGGGGGAGAGAAGGGTGATCCCATGATAACAATCTTAAAAATCTGTTTGAACCATGAATTTGTCATTTGCAGAAGGATTTATTAAAATGTCCGTAGGTTTGGGTTTAAATTTATTTCAAGTATGTTGTGTCACTAACAAAACTGTCACGTCTCTAATTCATAAGTGAACAGACAAAGTAGTGTGTGGAGCCTTTGAGTTTAGTTACTGTGGCAATGAGAACACCTTTCAGAGACTCAAACAACTGAAAACAGTTAGGATAGAATTGTTTATTAGTTCTGAAGAGAATGTAATTAGTAAGTAATTGGAATTTGCATGAAGAATTTAATCAGTTTAGAGAATATACAATCACAGGTCAAATCTTCTTTTTGACTGGTAGCTAATACTTAATAAACTTTTGGCTTGTAGTTGAGTTGTTACTGGAAGAAGCTGCTTTTAGGTCTTCATTGGGGCATTTCCACAGAAATTAGCTGAAACATAAACCGAAGTGAAAGATATCGAAGGAGTAGTTGTTGGAAGACAAGTGGGGAACACTTGCTTTGGTTTGACTCTCAGTGGCTGGCCTGCCCTTTTTTGTTCATAGTGTGTGTCTTAGGTTTTGGGGCTTGTTGGCCTAAAAAACTAAAAAATTAAGACAATTGATCCTTGAAAATGTAACTGTGGCCTATGGTCCGTGGCCTCAGCTTCTTGGAATTCTCTGGTTTCTGATACTTAACTCTGGGATTGCTCTAACACAAGTCAAGTTTGAGGACTAACCTCTTTGATACACTCCTCTTCACTTCTGGCTCCAAAGGCTGTTCTTCCAGCAGAACTGATAAAGAGTCTCCAATGTAATTGCTGAATTCTGAGCTGTCAGCTGTGAAAATAAAGTCTTGTGAATTGCTTCAGAAAGGTATGGATGGCTTCAAAAACACAGCAGTTTACAGTTGTAGAAAGGTATCATTGCATTAGTTTGGGTGAAGTTTTTCTCCCATCCCTGCTCACCTGGTCCAAAGATCTGTGACTTTTTTACTTTGTGACAGCATCTTGTACCACATGCCCTAGAAGCATGATCAAGTTGGTTTTTCAGTTTAAACATACGAGCTTCTGGCAGTCTTCTGGCAATAACAAGTTGGTTTATGATTAGTGGACACATTGGTGTATTTGAGGGCTTTCCAGAAACTCACAGATTAGAAATTAGCAAAGAAATAATTGGCTAGTGAGGAGAAAACTATTTATCAGCAGTTAGACTGGTACAAAAATAATAACCATCATAAATATTATCCTTGAACTTCCTACTTGTGTTTGTTTCTAATTTCCCTTCTCAGAGGTTACAGCTATCATGTTCCTGTTTCATTTGGATGAACTTAACTGGTCATGAGTCTCCCATAGACACAACTACTGTTCCAATTTTGATGTTGTATCAGGGAATTTCAAGCTGTATAGAGATCAATCACAGACTCATTAAGGTTGGAAAAGACATCCAAGATCATTGAGTCCACGATCACTAAATCCAACCATTAGCCCAGCACTGCCACGTTCACTAAACCATGTTCCCTAAACTAAAGTGCCTTTTGAACTCTTCCAGGGATGGTGATTTCACCACTTCCCTGGGCAGCCTGTTCCAATGCCTGACCAAACTTCAGTGAAGAAAGTTTTCCTAATATCCAATCTAAACCTCCCTGGCACAGCTTGAGGCCATTTCCTCTCATCATGTCACTTGCTACCTGGGAGGAGAGACTGACCCCCATGTGGCTACAGCCTTGTTTCAGGTAGTTGTAGAGGGCAATAAGGTCTCCCCTGAGCCTCCTTTTCTGGCAGGCTAAACAACCCCAGTTCCCTGGGCACACCGTTGGTTCATGTTCAGATGAAAAGATGCTGCTTGCTGTTTAGTTGTTGGTCCCTTTTAACAACATTTGATTCTGATGGGAAACGTTTCCTTTTTGCATGTCAATCTTAGCCCAGGTGTATTCATCACACACTTGATAGGTGTCCTGGTTCTGGTGTGCCTGTTGGGACATCTGTTCTGTCTTGGAGTTCAGAGGAGTAACTTTGCAGAGATCACCTTTTTGCCAAGAGTCGGGTTTGATACTCAGTTTGGAATTATTTTTCAGTGACCAAATATTTTTCCTCTCTGATTTAAAGTACGTTCCAAGTTAATTCTTCATGTAAGGTCAGAAAGTGCATTTGGATTCCTGTTGATATAGTGTTCTGGAACAGTAGTGACAGAAAAGGCAAACAGGCACTACTATCCAGGAAACTCAGTATTTTGTGTAGTTGAAAAAGTCCAAGTATCACAGCCTTGTTATTTAGGGCTTACAGCTTGTTGGGGGAACTGAGAAAAGAGCAACAGAGATTAGTGTATTGCAGTGTCTCTTAGCAATTGTTGTGGGTAGGGACTGCTGCAAGTGCAGTTGTGAAACAATTGCTGGAAGTTCTTGCAGTGCCTTGAGCATTTATGCAGCTGTGCTGCATTTCCAAATAAATGCACTGAGTGCAGCTGTCATGTCGGAGGCTATAGAAAACTCAAAGAACATAAAATTACTCCCACAAAGTATCTTAATCACATGGTATGCTTCCAGAAAATTCAAATTCTTAAGAAAAATCCACTGTGATTTAACTGGGAAAGTATTCGCATGAACATGTGTTCCATTAGTGCAAAAAAATCAAGATATGCAGAATAATAGAACTTCTGAGAGCTACCACCCACCCACCCCCCCCCAGCATCCTTAGCCTAGTCTGTGGTGTTTTCTTTCTTGTACATCTTAATTTCAAAAAGAAAATTGTAGAACAAAATTTTATTATGTTCTCATCCTAAATCATTTAGAAGAGGAACTTGATTACAGTGTCTTATCTTACAGAGTGCTCGTGTAGCTATTTGTGCTGCAGCTTATTATACTTCTTTGTTTCTCTTTTAAAATATTCTAAACTCTCTGCTGTTTCTAAGTTACTGTTTAGATTTAATATATTCTTCAGAAATTTATAAAAATGCTCTTGACCTTTATTGCACCATGGTATTTAAATTACACTAGAGTATTGTCACAGCATGTTTTGCTGGAAAAGTGGATCCACATTCAGTATATATAGATCTTATGCCAAGTATTGATGAATTTCTTAAAAAGTCCAGTGAGTCCTCTCTCACCAGTGTGCCTAAAAGATTTACACTGATGTAGCAAGGCAGCCAAGCCTGCAGTGGATACTTACATCTTTTACCTGTACTAAAAAAGAAGTTGCTCACCTCCTGAAAATGCAATTTGCTGTGACTTAACTCACCTGCTTTCAGGTCTCTTTCTTTCTCTGTCTTGTAGAAACTGGTTGCAGATCCTTGAGCAAGCAGAGGTCTGAAAAATAAACCCAAAAAGATGAGTAAAGGTTTTGCTAGTGCTTGTCTAATCATCGGTATCGTTTCTACCAAACATTTCTAAAAAAAAATTGGAACAAATGATAAAACCCTCAAGAAGCTGAAATCTCAAATAGGCGAGTAAAAACTAAATTATAAAGTGTTTTGAATAGTTCTTCATGTACAGAATTTCAAGATATGTGCACTGAATATACTCACAGCATGTAGTCATGCTCGGTTTGCTAGTACAGTGTGGTTTACTTCAAGTGAGCAAAACCTCTGTAATTTTAGAGTTCCCCATTTCAGTAAATCTTTTATACATTTTGGATTTATCCTCTTCCATGGAATCATCTTCTAGAGTATTAAAATTCAGATGAAATTCTAGGAGTCAGATTTTTACTCTGTCTACAGTAAACCCTGAGATTTAACCTGTATCTTTTCTTCTTAAGATTTACCCACAGAGTCTTGCTTGCCCTCAGAGCCTTGCTGCATGAACTGCCCCATTCCTTCCCCTCAGCCTGAGCCATCTGAAAGCAGCTGATGCTGCACCACACTAAAGTGATGTCAAGAGCCAATCTCAATCCCACCTGTCTTTAGTTTCAGAATGGCTGCGGTTACTGCCCTTCCTGGGTGTGCTGGCCCTGCTCGGTTACCTCGCTGTGCGCCCGTTCCTCCCCAAGAAGAAACAGCAGAAGGATAGCTTGATTAACCTCAAGATCCAGAAGGAAAATCCCAAAGTAGTGAATGAAATAAACATTGAAGATCTGTGCCTCACTAAAGCTTACTGCAGGTGTTGGCGCTCTAAGACGGTAAGACATTGTGTGTATGAGATTGAAACTTGTGTATTTTTGGCAGCACTTCAGTGGTCAAGCAAGTCTTGTTTAGTATTTAGAAATACATTGCAACTAATTAAAAGATAGCTATTCTTATTTTGCTAAAACAATGCTTAGGAAGTTGCTCATATTAAGATCACAATAAGGCTGGGCCTGTGTCAGTGAGGAAGAGCATATCCTTGTCTGGACCAGAGCAGCCAGATGACTGGTTTGGATAGTCTGTATCCCCCAAATCAACTAGATGTTAATGAGTATTTTTTATCTAGCCTCAGTTTGAATTTCCTGATTCAGTTTTGGCTGCAATCTGGTTTTGTCCTCTCTGGACTGAATGCTTCCCTGTTTTAACAAAACAAAATCTACCCTGAACCAAAGAAACCCACTCATCTATTCTCAGTTTGGACTAATCACTTCAGCCAAGTATTTCAGCTTTGCTTTAAAAAGTAGTTTTGATTACAAATGGTGAAATTTATTAAGAGTACTTGTACTAGTTCTACAGTAAATCTTAAACCATTTGTAGCTGCAATGGCTGCTTTGCTTGCTGTTCTTTCATGGAAAGGGCTTAGTCCCTAACTTCACATCTAAGAACAGCTATTTTAGGACCTCACAAACTTAGTTACCCCTTAACAGTGTTTGTTTGCCTTAGTGTCATGTATCCTGTGTCTGATAGGAGACAGGGAGTTTGACGTTGAAACAGGACCTAATAAGAGGAACTCACAACATTAGCAAAGTGCTCTTGGCCTAGGAAGAAGTGTAAAAATCACCGTGCAAGTGCTGTACAGAGTTATGCTAATTCCTCATGTATCTTTTCTTCCAGTTCCCTGTCTGTGATGGCTCCCACAACAAGCACAATGAATTAACAGGAGATAATATAGGTCCACTAATACTCAAGAAGAAAGAAGTATAGCAGGTGTTTAATCCACTAGATCGTGACTGATAAAAAGCCTTTTTATACTGTTGTAGTTGCAAGGGACAGCATTTTATTATGTGATTGGTATGATTTAGTTTAATGATTACTGTAGATTTCTTTTTGGAATAAACTGCATTCAGACAGTGCTGAATTTGTCACTGTTTTGATACCTTATTCTGAGGAGAACTGTGCCTGCTTTGTAAAGCTGTAAAGTACCTATCTCTGTAAATAAGTCGTTTATTTCAACAATAAAATGACTTTCTACAACTAAGCCTTTTCTGTATAAACATGCAGTTATAAAATTGTCATTATTTCAAGTGACAGAAGTGCACTTTGATTTTGTCCTGCTGAGAAGCCATGCTTTATTTTGCTCTTCCTGAACAAATTTAAGTGCACATAAGTGTGGAAGAAAAAGTTACCAAATTCATCCTCCGTGAACATATTTTCAGGCAGGCAGCACAGCAGTGTTGTGTTGGCTGAAGGTGGTGCCTAAGTGGGCAGTTGGTTAGTCTTAGGCAAAGCAGCCCAGCTCAAACCCCACACAGCTGGACAGCCTCATGCAGCAGCCTAGGTGGAGTGCTGCTACAGCAGGGGGGTGGGGTATAAACCTGATTTAATTAGGGGTCATCCTCCGTGAACATATTTTCAGGCAGGCAGCACAGCAGTGTTGTGTTGGCTGAAGGTGGTGCCTAAGTGGGCAGTTGGTTAGTCTTAGGCAAAGCAGCCCAGCTCAAACCCCACACAGCTGGACAGCCTCATGCAGCAGCCTAGGTGGAGTGCTGCTACAGCAGGGGGGTGGGGTATAAACCTGATTTAATTAGGGGGTGTTTTCTTTGGGGGTGGGGTATAAATTAGGGATTTAATTAGGGGTGTGTGTGTTTTCTCTTAAACAAATCCAGACCCTATAAGCTAAACTATGGAGTAGATCAGCCACCAACATGATCCCTTTATTTTGGGCCCCTGTGTTGATTATTGGTGAACTCCTGTAAGGAAACAAATTTGCTTCTTGGCAGTTCACTTTGCTGTAGTTGCTACTTTTTGTAGCAAGGCCTTTCAGGGGCCTGATGGATTGAATGACAGAACCAAGGACACAGCTGAGCTGTGCTCTTGGCTTCTTACGCATTCAAAATTAGTGTTTAGGCAAGTCAGAACTTTGCTGTGGTGTGGCTTAATTTCAGATGCTACTTATCTAACTGCTAGACTTCTGAATAATTATTCTAAAGCGATTTATTCTCTCATGAAAGCCTGTGTCCATCAGTTTAAAACAAAAATTTGAGCCATGCTACAATTTTAGGTAATTTTGCTAAGACAGATTTCAGCTGTTCCTTATAGTACTTCCTTTCACTCATTGTCAGGCAGGTGGAAAGCCCCAGAGTGTGTGCTGTGTGTGCTGTTACCAAAGCTGGTCACCACAGTGCTGAAACAAAGCAAGTCAGAAAGCTGTTCTCATGTAAGGGCTCTTGCAGCTGCAGCATAACTAAGGTAGATAATTCCTCCTCCATTTGTAACAGTTGTAGCTTTAGGTACCAAAAGCACTTCTTGGCTTGCAGCAAAATATGGCAGATTAGGATGTGAGTGTGTGTTAAATGCCTGCTTTGGCAAAGTGTGTAACAGAACCATGGTATCATCTAGAATGTTTAAATGCTTCACAGTGGTCTTATCCTAATGGATAAGCAAACCATAAACATGTTAGGATATAACATTTATAATAGAGAAAAATATATGTTAAGTGTCTTACACTCAGTCTGCATATTGGGTTTGATGAAGAAATCACTGTGAAATGCAAAACCCTGTCTTTATTTATTTTTTTCAGACTTAAAACCCACAGCCTGTTGTAGCAGGCTGTTGTTCTATACTGGCCTGTATGTGCTTCCTGCTTTTATCCGGATACTTTTGTATTCAAATAATTTGTTTTTCTCTGAAATCAAAACCAAACCTGTTAAATGAAGACAAACCCTGTTAAAGGAATACTGCAAAACTGTTATTTTCTCCCAAAAGACTCCTCTAAAAGGAGAACAACAGTGTAAGGTTTAACCTCTTGACTTCATCTTTAACACAGATTATGTAATTTATTTTTTTTTCTCCCTGCTTGCTCTTAGATGAGATTGCTGTTAAACTATCAACAAATGTAGCTATGGAATAAACAGGGGACTTCTGTTTGTTTGGTTTTGCTTATGTCTATAAGGGAATGGAACACATTTGTAGTGTTGTAAAAGCAGCACTCTCAGTTCCTTTGGAGAAAGGAGACTTGGTTTTGCTTATGTCTATGTAGTGTTGTAAAAGCATCACTCTCAGTTCCTTTGGAGAAAGGAGATTTCAGTTATTTCCACAAGGTAATAATACAGTGAGGATCACAAGCAAAAATAAATGACCATTTCCTTGCATTTCAAAATCTGTCAAGGTAATACTCTCTTCTGGCCACAGAAATGTCTATAGAAAATCTCAAAGAATTTACTAATCAGTTCAAATTATCTACCTCAAGTCTACTGAGACAGATAGCTAAGAGCTGAAGTGCCTGCAGCACCCTGTATCTCACCAGCAATTGAGCTGAACCAATTACCTGACTTTTCTAACCTAATTTGGAATCTCCACACAAAGGGAATGCTAATCAAGACCAGAACTGAGGCAGTAGACCAGGTCTTCACAGTGTTGATGCAAAATCAGGGGAAACATAAATTGGTATGTCATGACATTCCTTTTTACTCTACAAGGACAGTAATGCTTACCTTTCTTTTGTTTATTAATTTGAACAATAGTTATAGAATACAAATAAACTTGTAAAACAAGTTTAGAGAAAGGTGTCTGACTTGTGACAACTACTAGACAAAGTAAATGTAATTGAAGTGCAGCTCACACAAAATTTAATTTCTTGCACTCTGTTTATTTAAAAAGCAAAATGTAGAAACTGTCATTCATTGTATTGTGGGTGTATTGCACCACAACTGTTTGACAGTTAACTTTAGACTTCAGTCTAAATTCCCTAAAAAGCTCAGTTTGGCTGAGAAAGAGAGTAAGCAGTGATTATATTTACATTATCACTGCATCCCCTTGGCCTGTGCAGCTCCCTGCTTCCAGATGGCCAATTTCTGCCTTTTCCCATATGCTGCCTGCTGTGACTGCCCAGTGCTGGCTGCCAGGAACACACTCTGCTGTCAGAGCCTTCTGCTGCAGAGGTTCTTGTGAACCTTCTGGTACTGCACGCTCGGTGCTCTCCCACATTATGCCTGTGATTATGTCTGCATGAGACCAGGACTCCTCTGGTTATTAGTTACTGCACATTGTGCTCTCATTTTATTTCCTGCAAATAAGAGACCAGCAGGGTGTAAAGAGTGTATTGAATTTATGCATTATTCATTAATAATTTCGTGGTGTTTTGTTAAAAGGGAGATGGTCTTGAATGTCATGATTCACCCACACAAACTCTGATAAAAAGTGAAACGTATCTCTCAAAGTTAGCTGCTATTTAAAATCAGCTGAAATTGTCATGGTACTTATTATAAAATCCAGTCTCTTAGGCTCTTAGTTCTGATACAACATTTCATTTCATGACAAGTTGTTTTCTTCCTTTCTGGAAGGCAAAGAGAGGAGCATTATAAAGCCTTAAAGCTTTACATTTTAGATCTAGAGGTCTGTATAATAGCTTCAACCTGATTCTTTCTGAAGATGTAATAAAAGCTGGAGGAAAGGGGTCTTGTGAAAAATATCCGCATAAGGTATCTAGGAAAGAAAAATTTATTCAATTTCATTTAGATTAGAGAAAAAGATGACACTTTCCTTGCATTGGTATAGCTATTCAGGCACTCAGAATGGTGAAAGTGATCTATTGTATAAATTGAGAGTGCACTGAGGTTAAGGTAACATGGTAAATTCAATTTATGAGATGCTGTTATGGTGGTGAGCAACTATTAGAGGCTATTATGAACAAGGGCTCTTTGTCAGAGGTTTGCTTGCATACCTAAGGTTGTGTCCAAATTTAAAGGGCTCTAATTCTTACAGCTTCATGCTTCTGTTACTGACCAGATTCCATATTTAGCACAGTGATCCCTGTTGGGAGGATTCTGCTTTTTATAAAACTTCTTGAAAAAGCCAACTCCTGTAAGTTTTACTTAAGTAGAATTATTTTTACAGTCAGTGACGAACTGAACATTCCCTCACCTTGCCAGTTAGGTTTGCAGACATTCCAATTTCCAAATGCAATAACCTCCTATTAAAACTACCCATTTTAAGTAACAGAGTGCCTGCATTAGCCATGCAAAGTAGGCAGAACAGGCACAGAAGTCAAGGGCTGACACAATAGCCACCAAGCACAGCACCCTTAACCATTCATCAGTGTGCAGTTTGCAAACATCCTCCTTTCAGGTCAGGAAACAACTGTGAACTGAACTAAACATGGTTCATTCCCGAGGAAGCAGAGAGAATAGCAGTGCATGTAATAAGAAAAATACCAATATACTTGACAACTTATGAGTTTTCTAGAATTTTTAGCACTGTGCTAGAATTGCAGGGTATGAACCTTAAATGTTTCTCAGGAAGCTTTCTTTTTGGCTTGGAGATGAAGGAATGTACAAAGGGACACATACTGAGCTGTAATTCATCTGTATATGGAGGAATCCCACCAATGGGATGGGGGAGCGAATCAGAAGGGTAAAAGCTACAAAAACTCATGGGTTGAGATAAAGACAGTTTAATAAATAAAGCAAAAACTGCACACACAAGCAGAGCAAAACAAGGAATTAATTCACTGCTTTCCACAGGCAGGAGGTGTTAAGCCATCTCCAGGAGAGCAGGGCACATCACACATAACAGTTACTTGGGAATACAAACACCATCACTCCAGATGTCCTCCTCTTCCTCCTTCTTCCTCCCATTTTATATACTGAGCATGATGTCATATGGTATGGAATATCCCTTTGGTCAGTTTGGGTCACCTGTCCCAGCTGTGTCTCCTCCCAATCTCCCATGCATCCCCAACTTCCTTGGCAGCATGACAGTATGGGAAGCAGCAAAGGCCTTGACTCTGTGTAAACTCTGCTCAGCAATAACAAAAACATCTCTGTGCTATCAGCCCTGTGCTCTGCACAAATCCAAACATAGCCCCATACTAGCCACTGTGAAGAAAGTGAATTCCACCCCAGCCAAAACCAGCACACAACATTAAAAGTATTTAAGTAGCTGAAAGTATTTTTGTACTTTTCTTGCTTTACATATTGAAACTGTAAAAGCTAAATTAGAATTGGTTAGTTCTTACTAATACCAAAATCTAAACACATAAAATATATTCTATAAGTATCCTGTAAAATGAGTTCAGTGAACTGTAGTGTGCAGATCTGCAGGGGGGTGTTGTCCACCTCAGTTACAGGCACAATCTAATCCTTTCTAAAAACATAACAAAACAGCTTCCAGTTTCTGAGGGATGCTGTACTGACCCCATGCCTCAGAATGGAGCTAGTTGTAAACAGCCTAGCAGAGTAAGGCAGATTTGCTGCTATCTGTCAGGTGATACCAAAGCTAAAGGCAAGAGCAAGATTTTGACCAGCAGAGAAAGTCACTCCTAGCTTTATGACAGTCAAGGAGAAGAGGAAGGGAGCACTTCTGGGAATGGGAAAATCAAATGTGAACTATAATGCAACTGACTGTGCAGGAGACATCTATAGTAAACAAAATGAAGAAAACTGCATTTGGGCTTTTTGCTTCCCCTGGAGAAATACTTTGGCAAGATATTTGACACAATTGTTGCCAGTCATTACCATGATCCACAGCCACACACATCTTGTGTTTCTGGAAAGACCCACAGGGGCTGTGGGTATGTGCTAATGCTGTGTCCTGCCACTGCTTACTCATGACACCTGCCTTCACCCTGCAGCCTTTCTGAAGGTAGGTGAGAATGAGGCTCCTTTCACTCTGTACCATCTCTCTCTGCACTGCATTTTCAAATCTGTTCATTTAAAGTATATTAGTTTTCAGTGTCAGAGGCAAAAAATGCCCTGGCAAACCTGAGAGGCCTCCACTCTTCATAGTCAGTCCAGCCAGCCACCTCTTGGAAAAAAGAGCACTAACTGGTTGTAAGATTAGCAAATACCTGGTTTTCTTTGATGCAGTTATCCAAACTCACATGTGAGAAGGACTTGATCATAGCATTTTCTCAGCCAGGTAAGTATTAGGACAAAGCAACAGGAGATCCTGGCTGACCCACAAATCTTGATTTGAGGAGAGGTCTGCTGCTATTACCAAGTTCCCCAAAAGGAGCTGAGGCCTTGCCCTGTCAGCAAACCCTACCTGCAGAGAGCTCTCCCATCTGCCCTGCAGTGGCCAGCACCAGAACACAGCTGCTCTCACTAGCCAAAGAGGAATGGCAGAGGTGTGGGAATGGGAAGGCTGCTTCTTCACCTGTGTACCTCAGCCTTCACACAACATGATGCCAAGAGAGGGAAAGCCACAGTCCATGATGGTCCCAACTGTCTTTTTCAGCACATAAATACCACTTGCTGTTTCTTGCTGTGATCAGAGCTGACAGTCCCTTGGAGGCACAAAGGAGTGCATCAGCTGTGAGGAAGAACAGCAATAAGAAAAGGCAAGTTCTGGAACCCAAATGAGGAAGGAGAGGGAATCACCAACCCATGGCAGGACTCATTCACTATGTGTCAGCAGTCTCTTATTCAGAAGCTGCTTTCTTTGAGTTGTTGAACTTGTCATCTCATAGCCCAACTTCAACCATCAAGAAGTTATTCACATTAGTCTTCATTTTCTTCTGTTTATATTCCACCTCATGACTCCACTCCATGCCTGAACAGCTCTGACCCTCTCCCTGGCCTCACCACCCACACATTTTAAGTAACTGTTGACTGCTGAGTTCTCAGTGACTCACTGCCTGGTCAGCCTATTCAGTGTATGTTCAGCTATTTCATCTCAAGGCACCATCAACACATAAAAGTATTTTTTAGAACTCCACCAGGGCTTCTTTAAAAATAACAGATGTAACTGATACTTGTTTTAGTTTCCTCCAGCAGGACTAGAGACATGCCATGTTTACTCAACAAGTGTAAGGGCTGAAGGACCATGTTCCTGTAGATGTCTGTTTTAAGAAGGTTCACAAGCCTCTGCTGCTTCTCTGGCCTCAGCACCTTCCTCATCCTTGCTATTTGTCTGAGCCTTCTGCAATAGTCTGGGCCCTGCCAAGCCAATAATCAGGGCTCCAATTGGAGCAGTGATCAAGATAGCCAAGAAAGCTACTGTCAGTACATCCATTCCATACTTTTCCAGTTGCTTGTCCTGATGACTTCTTGCTGTATCCAGGGCAAGAGAACCTATTGCAGCCTGCAGGGAAGAAAACATTGTTGAGATGGAGCAAGTAACATTTAGCACTGAAAGGAGAAAAAAGGGGCCAATCATCAGTCAGCATTTCACATAGATTTGATATTTTTAGTACGTTCAACACCTATCAATTTGTTTCTAGGTAGTACATAGAAAAGTAAACATTATATTACACCTATGAGAACAATTTTCACTTGGCTACACTTTGAATTTCCTAAGCTAATGAGTTCATCTGGGTGGTTTCCTCCCATGAAGAACATTGCTTAGCTGCCATCTCACCCACATTTCTGGAGAAGGTGTGATTAATGAAATGGGCCAGTATACCACGTATTGCAGCTGGTGATGCATCCTGACAGTAGTCAACTTGTAACAGCTTCTGAAAATTTAGTTCCCTAAACTTGCAATGATACTTGCCTGTTTTGATTACTAACTTCTGTTTGCAAGCATTCATGATATTGAGGCAAAGTCTAAATGACACAATGATCCCTGAAATAAAGGAGCAGGAGCTCTGCCAGCCTGAGGCTTCTCTAGTAGTGTGGCTGTCAGACCACCCCTTACCAAAATGGCCACAAACTGAAACCCATTCTGAGTCTCTGATGTGACTGTCCCTGCAGACACCTCATGGGTAAGAGGGAAACACTTTTACCTTTGTTTTGAGGGTTCTCAGAATCTGTATATAAAGACACAATAATCTGCAATGACTGAGAGACTGTTATGCTTCCTATGACATATGTAGAATTGACTGTCATTTATTCAGAGTACAGCCCAGGATGCAAGCAAAACATCTCCACAGAGAAGGCTCTCCAATGCACTTTGCAAGCAGACTTAGGGTGATTAAAAATATGAACTGTCCACAGACTACACTGTGCTGTCATGATGCCTGAGCCTTTCCCCGTTACTGCTCTGCTAGTTACGAGGAGTTTTGCTAAGGACAATAAATTTAGCCTGAAGTGAAAGTGATGTTGGATTGTTTACCTGGACAGTGGCTTTGGGAATCCATGCCAGTGAGACAAATACTTTCTCCTTGAAATTAAACCCAGCAAAAGACACCATCAGGAATGTTGCTACAATTCGTACAACTAGGGCAATGCCTAATATAGCAACACAGAGCCCTGCAACAAAGACAAACACTTCTCAGTACTTTTTTTGCACAGGTACCAGAGGGGAGTAAGGCTCCTGAAACTGTAGCTTTACAGTGGGGTTAGGTTTTTTGAATTTTTTGGGTCAGCCATAGTCTGCTTTTCTTTGGATTTCTTTATAGAGACTCTTTGGATGCCAGAGCTGGATAATTTCTAAAGGATCTTACCAACAGTTTCAGGCCTAAGAGATGTAACAGATACTTCTGCTCCAATTAAACCGAAAAGAAAAGGTTGAAAGATATTCCATGCAACTGCCACAATTTTTTCTACTTCTTTCTGCAATGAAAACAAAACTAATCTGTAAATTCAAAAAAGATAGCCAAGTAGGCAAAAGATCTAATTAATCATAGAACAAAGTGAAAATGTATCATAAAGACTGTCCAGAATTGCTTCTTTGAGCTACTACTGAAAACCTCAAAATCAGTTGCACAGCTTTTGAAGGTCAGACTGTATCCAGCTCTGCAGTAAATAAATCCTTGCTCTTTCATAAAGTGACTGTGTAGGGTTACAGACACTCACAGAGCTGGGACATAAAGCTCTGAATTACTAGTAAAGTGCCTTCACAACTAAATCTCCTTTACATGGCTTAAGATGTCTAAGAAAACTTTGGGAGTGTTCCTCTGCCAGCATGCCAGGCTCTGTATCAATATCTATTCACACATTTGGTAACTTTCTGTCATGGTAAATGTTAAAGGCTCCCAAAATAAACAGATTGTGTTGTTTGGTTTTGTTTTTTTTAAAAATCTGTATACCCTCTAAAGCTTCACAAATACACCATGACCACCTTTGACAGAAATTCAAACTCCTGCCAGGCTATACATCAACAGAGTTTGGGTATGGTATGCTTCTTATGTAAATATTCACCTTTTCATCAGACCACCCCACACCTGCAACAAAAGCTAAGACCAATGTGCAGAGTCCTCCTGATCCAGGGAAGCCAAAGAACTTGCTGCCAAAAACAGCAAACATGGACAGTCCAAGGACAAAACCTGATCTCTTCCATGCCAGAGATGCCTGTAGCCAAGGAAAGAGACAAATATAAAGGTAAATTTCTTTAAAAAATGGAGGGAAAAAAGTTACTTCTATTAATTTAGAAAATAATAATTTAAAAAGAAAAATAAAAATTAACCATTTTGAAGGAATCAAAGCTTTCAACTGAGACTTGAACTGCTCAGTCAGATTGAGGGGTTTTTTGGACATTAATTGCCAAGAAATATAAATTCTGAAAATCTTATATTTTCTTTCCTCTGCCCATCCAAAATCTTATTGCTAATAGGCTTTTGGTATCACAAGGCACATGATGCTCTGTTCTAACAGCCCTGCCTCAATTCTGTGGTAACAGGATTTTCTACCTGTCCAGTCAAGTGCTAGAACAGTTTGCCCAAGGAGAGGTGAAATTCTTGCCACCAGATTTTTTTAAGGACAAGTCAAACAAATATTTTCCAGGGACAAACTGGTTTTATTAGATTCAGTCTCACAGCAGACATTTACATCTCTACCACTGTTCCCCCTTTCTATCTATTGGTTTAGCTCCTGTATCCACTTCTTATGTTATTTAATAATAAGAAATTTAGTCACACTGACTATGCAAACTGACCTCAGTAGTTCAGAATATACCTGCTTTCTTCCACAATTTTCTGTTCATTTAATTGCCCCTCAATAGTAAATTCATCTACCACTTTCTGTAAAGCTTAATTTTTACTGAAAGCAACATATTCTAATCAGAGCTAATGATATAACCAATCACTTAAAGCTTCCAATGTCTGCTTTATTAATTTTTAATTTTAGGCCTACTGAATACTTGGAAATGAGTAACTGAAGAACATCACCCCTTAGCAAAGAACCTCTGTTTTATAAAAAGTTTTTTTTGCTGGGCTTTTACCAGATCGTGGCTTGGGAAATAGCGAATAAACACTCCCAGAATTCCCCCAGCTGCTATGCCAACAGCAACCTCCAGCACTCCACGGAGCACATTGTACAGAGTAGAACCTATTTGGCAAAAAAAAAAGGTGTTCACTAAGTCACACACAGACCTTTCATGCACCAACCACACTGTAGAACTATGAGGGTGATTCCAGGACAGCCACTGTCTGCTTTAAATTACCTGGGGCAAAGGAGTTCAGGAGGTAACCTGTGGTACTGAAAGAACTGGATGATGCAACTTTCTCTCTTTGAAAGCTCATGCCAAGAAAGTGTGCAAGAGAAGCCCGAGAAAGAGCCACTGCAAGAACATTGACAAACCCAGGATGTTGGGCATGCAGGGACCAGACTTGGCAGCTAAGGGAGCAGACAGGGAAACATGTTCTCTGAAAGTTACTGTGGCCCACAACTCAGAGCAGACAATGTTACACCAAGACTTCTGAACATGGCTAATTTCCATCTCAGTATTCAAGTCCATACATGAATTTTATAAGGAGATGACATTAAGTTACAAACCAGCTGGTCATAACAGAGCACACATTCTTCAAAATATCACTGTTTGTTCTGGATTTCACCACATACACATTAACCAGCATACCAGAGGAGAAAGCCATCCCAAGGCAAGTGTTGAAGCCTGTGATAGCCAGGATGTCATCAATGCTGCCAGCTGCCATTAGCAAAGTTGGGATGCCTTTCTCCACTCCATATCCTCCAGCCTGTAAAATCAGCATTGAGGGAACCACCACAGCAGGGGAGACTGCGCCTAGAACGAAACTGAAAACACATAGGTTCAACTTCTCTTAAAAAGAAAGCACTGAACTAAAAAACTTCAAAATGTTCTGACCCCAATCCTTTCAAAGTGTAAGTAAACACACCTGTACCTATATACCTTTCCCTGCTAATTACAAGCAGGGATATTTCTATGCAGATTTGCAATCAGCTCTTACTTTCTGCCCAACGCAATAGTATTAAAAGTAAAATCAAAGTTAAAAAAAGTAAAGGGCTCCACAGACTAAACCTTGAGTCTGCACTGCAGGCCAGATATGCCTTGATTGTTCATTTAGGAACCTGGTCTAGATGTCCTTATGACTCAGTAGCCCAGTTCCTTCTCATAAACCTCAGTGTGTGGCAGAGGAGGAGTTCATCCATGTTGCTCTAGTACATGAGTCTGGACCAAGTCCACCAATTTAGATAGAACTAGATGGAAAAGGTTTTCTCTTCAAGGACATTACTACAGAACATACCACATCATATCCTTATCCTTGACTTGTGACAGGAAGACTATCCTACGTGCGTCTCTCTACGAAGAAATTCTGAATTCCAGTATGAAGATTCTCCAAATTGTGGTATGATTTTCTGTCCCTCAAAGCTCCCTGTGATGTGGTTAAAGACTCAGGGATTGCACCATCCTTTTTCCTTCTACAAGATCACAAACAGAGAACAGTAACAATGCAAGTACTCCTCCACAGCCTGGAAATATGACCTTCAAATTATCCACACAGCCAGACCAGAATGGTAAGCAAATTACCACAGGGGTTAAGTACAGCTTCCTAACTGGCACTGAACTGAGATCTCTGCTTGGTGCAGAGAACTAACCACGCTTGGATCATTTAACTGTAGCATGAAAACAGGCACCTTTGTCATGCAGGAGAAAAGAAAGTACTTTACCCTAAAATAAATCCCCATTGCCATGGCAAATGCATGAACAAGTAGGCAAGAACAGCAGCTGTGCATGTCTCTGAGAGGCATGGTCCAGCAGCAAGGCGTACACAGACTGCTCTCAGCTTCTTAAGAGCCTGCAATAACACAAGCACATTAGTGTCAGTACCCTTGGCTTTATAGAGAGGAAATACATTTATGATCTGATATGGTTTGTTAAAAGAATCCTGTCTGAGCTGCAGTATAGGATGTGACAGCTTTACATGGCCTAAGCTAGAGGTAGGCTCAAGCACAACTGGATTTGGATATAAAATTTGAAGTGTGGCAGTGAATCTAGGTTTGACAAGGTTCCTGCATATCACAGGAAAGAACAGCAGAAAATTCTGTTCGGCTTCTTGTGCAAAGCAAAGGGAATGTGAGAGGCTGGACTAGCTGGGAGCCATTTGAAAAGTGCACCCTCAACACTGCTGACTTACCCACAGTTACTTGAGGTCATATGCTCCATGCACAAAACATTTTGCTATAATCCCCAAACCTGCATGAGGAGACCTCAAAATTATCCCAAAATCCATGAACAAATCATGAAAAGTAGAACTGCAGAAAGTTGGCACAAGCAGCCAAGCATCTCTTTCAGCTGTCTCTCACTTGATAGCCAGAGTAGATTAAGTTCCTTTTGGGTCAGCAGCTCTGTAAATAATTTCCTCTAACCAGCATATTTGCTTGTAACAGTTGTCTTTAAAAGTCAGTCACAAACGTGACTGCTATGACAGGTCCCTAATTTTGACATGGAATAAAAAAAAAATAAATTAATGAGTTCCACTTTTTACCAGTCCAGTTTATCCCAGCATAATCAGGGCTGAGCAGAGCAACCAACATCTTTGTCTTTACAGCTTCAATGACATGAGGAACAACTGTAACTGCATTAACAGTTGTCTTTAAAAGTCAGTCACAAACGTGACTGCTATGACAGGTCCCTAATTTTGACATGGAATAAAAAAAAAATAAATTAATGAGTTCCACTTTTTACCAGTCCAGTTTATCCCAGCATAATCAGGGCTGAGCAGAGCAACCAACATCTTTGTCTTTACAGCTTCAATGACATGAGGAACAACTGTAACTGCATCAAAGCACTGGTAATCAGGGCTGAGCAGAGCAGCCAACATCTTTGTCTTTACAGCTTCAGTGACATGAGGAACAACTGTAACTGCATCAAAGCACTGCCACATACAGAGTCAAAACAACAGTTTCGATTGCCACATGGAAGAAAAATGAGTCAAAGGTGAAGTTCCCTCAGCAAAACAGAGTTTTCATGAAGTAGAAAGAAATGTCATCTCACAGAACTTGGCATCCATGCTGTGTCTAACAACACACACTACGTGCTCATACAAGCTTCAATGTCTTGGGGAAAAAAGATCATGATAATCTAGGAAATCAGATATTTTTCAAGACTGACAAAACCTTATTTTCCTCTGAAGCACTGGCAACTCTCTAGTTTTTCCTGATAAAAAAAAAAAATTACCAGTTTGGTTGTTCTGAACTACCTACTCTACCAAAGATATATAAACTCTAAACGGTTCCTTAAATAGGTCGGGGCCAATATGGTACAGCTTTACTTCAGGCAGCTTTGGATGAGCAAAGCCTTGCCTTCATTAATTTATGGATCACCTCATTTCACAGCGTGCAGAGGAACACTACTTTTTGGTTCACAGGATCATTATGGGTTTCATCGTGATACGAATCATTGTTGCTCCAAAGATATATAAACTCTAAACGGTTCCTTAAATAGGTCGGGGCCAATATGGTACAGCTTTACTTCAGGCAGCTTTGGATGAGCAAAGCCTTGCCTTCATTAATTTATGGATCACCTCATTTCACAGCGTGCAGAGGAACACTACTTTTTGGTTCACAGGATCATTATGGGTTTCATCGTGATACGAATCATTGTTGCTGTAGTGCAGCGTCATTAAGGTCTTCATCGTGATACGAATCATTGTTGCTGTAGTGCAGCAGGACTCATCTTTGCATTTAATATATTTGCATTAAAATGGCAATGATTCAAAAAAAAGTCAAAAAAGTCACACAGACTTACATTTCTTTTGGTTGTTTTTTTTTCAAATTATTATTTCTGTCCAGACAAGAACTTTACATTGCTTTTGGTTGGTTTTTTTTTGAAAATTATTATTTCTGTCCAGACAAGAACATTCTCTTTGAAGGACTGAGGCTCCTTTCCAGTCCTTGTTTTAGTTTGTCAGTGTAAACTAGCAGGGAGTTTGTCAGGGAGTGCAAACTCTTCCTGACAGACACACATCCTCAAGATGTTCTGCTCAGAAAATTCAAGAAATTTTTTTAAGGCAAGGGGGAAAATAGTAATGAAATCAGTTTTTTTAATTGCTTGCCTACTCTACGAATCCAACTGTCAATATTAACATTCAATAATTATACAACAGAAACTATGCTTTCTGTAACAATCTAATATGCAGATCCTCTGAGGCTGAACAGTTCAATATTTTTAACAGAAGAAATGATTACATTTTTTTGAGAGCTGTTGTATATTTTGCCTTACACAAACTGCTGGTGCCATACCTTTGGATCCAGGCCGAGTCCTGCTCGGGTCAAGATAATTGAAAGAGCAATATTCCTCAGTGCTGCAGACCAGTGTAGGTTTATCTGGACAAAATCACTAATGAATGGAGTATTTCGGATTAGGAAACCAGCAAGTAGCATCCCTTAAGTGAAAGCAAATAAGCACCTGTCAAATGATTTGTTTTCATTGCATGAGAAAAGCTTGCATAGACACCATATGATGTATTTATGAAGCAAAAAGAAACAATTCATGCTCTGAATTATTTGCCATGCTTTAACAATGGGACAAAAAGAGACAAACATGTTTAAAGCAGTGCAAGTGGCCTAAGAACACAGCAGGTCACCCATGAATAAATGCACAGGATGCTGACACATGGCTTTAGGCTGAGTCAACAGAGCTTTGTTCACCTGGTGCAGGTCATATTTGCCATAAGCAAAGACACCTCTGCCTCCTTAAAGATTTTTTTCTTGTTAGCTTGTTTTAACATGAAAAGAGGAAGATCATCTAATATTGTGTATTTATCTCAGAAATGGAAAATTGTTAAAAATCCTCTTAGTTGTAAGAAATGTAGGTATCACAAGAACCACGATGCTGAGTGGATTGGGAAATAAAATCTAAAATGTCTAATCATGGACTTATTTAGAGCTTTTAAAGCACCCTGGTGATACAACTCTGACTCAAAGAGGGGAAAAAAGGGGAAGGGATATCAAACTTGGTCTTTTCCTCTATTTGAGCTATTTGCAAGATCTACCCTTTTGCAAATACTATTAAAATCAACAAATTAGAGACTTCCTGCAAAGCTATTGGAACGGTAGCTCTGGAAGGATATGGAAAAGTACAGGAAAAGTTTGACTTTAAATACAGATCTGCAGAGATTCGTTGTAAGTCCTGATGATTCAAAGATACATAATTTCATTAGTCATGTTTAGAAACAGGAAACCAAAAAAAGGATGAAAAGTAAACCACCACTGTGCTCAGGTTGGTCCTGGCTTGGTGTAAGCCTCGACTGTGGACTTGATTTGTCCTAGAGCACTCTAAACTTTCATACATTGTTCTTCCCCCCAAAAAAAAACCCCAGCATCATAATTAATCTGTGGTACCTCATGGCAATTATATCAGGCTGGTATAATGACCACATGCTCCGTGCAGTGTTTGCATGAGGTCCAAGTCACCAAAGCTACCCTGATCTAGAAATCTGCTTAACAAAACAAAACTCTCCACCTCAAAGGACATCTTGACTGTTGTGCTCCGTGTTGACTGCTGCAGAAACCTCTCTTAAATGTGTGCCTGGAATATACTGTGTGGCTGTTTGAACAGCAGTTTCACTCCTTGTTTCCTCAGACAGAGGCTCACTATAAGATGCTTGAGTGCTCAGCCAGCCACATTACACTACTGCACCTAGCACAAGTGGATTAAAGGCATGTCAGAGGACAAGATTTGTATTTTTAATGTAAAAATAGAATATTCAAAGACATATCTCTTCTGACTTATAGATTTCTCCAATTTTCCTTGAAGGCTGGGGTTTGGAACAATGCATTCTGTCCTAAACAACCCAACAGACATGTGCTGTCATGCTGCAGTTTCTGTTGTTCAGTATTACCTGTCTGACCAGCATTTTCATGCTCAACTCATTAACTTCTAGATACAGGTGTAATTGAAAAAAACTCCCCAAACAAACAGAATCCAAATGGCCAGCAATGTTTTTCTTTAACAGGGGTGTTTACTCAGAAAGGGCAGACTCCCTGCATGTGACATTCTGTGCTGACATTATGGCAGGCATGCATGCTATATGCAAAACTTCTCTCCCTCTCTTTTGCATTTTTTCTCGCTGGTGAAACCAAGCAGTGTGAGAACACACGAGCACAGGCTGCCTGGATGTGGCTGTACAGGGAGTCATCTCACCCCTCTGTGTGCAGTGCTGCTGTCCAAGGCACACCACCAGCTATCAGGTGACAAAATCACACCTGTGCACCACAAGCAGGAATTTGTAGCCCACTCTGCCATGAAGTTTTACTGTCTGTCAACAGCTTTACTCATTGATGCACTAAACACAGTAAGGGCACAGTGAACAGCTGGTGTAAAGAACCTGGAACTTCATTTTCCAGCTTCACTGACATCACAGCACTCCAGTGATCTAAGGAGAAACAAAACCTCTAGGAAAGAAGTCTGAAGAGACTCTGAAGATGGCACAATTAACATTATTTTCATCTCCCGTTTCTATTTTGCTTTTTTAATGTAAAATAAAATAGGATGCGGATGTCAAAAACATTATAATTGATTCAGAATAACTCTCTTCAAAAGAATTATTCCTTGTGGTGAATTTATTTTCTCAGGTTTCAATTCCCTTGAGATAAAGGAAGGAGAAATCCTTCGGACTATCAGTGGCTGGGAATTCCTGCACTGTGTTCTTTGGAAAACATTTTCATTGTGCAAGATACTAACAAAACAGCTCAGAAATAGTTTTGCTATGAATTTATTATCATACTATAACAGGAGGTCTGGATTAAGATTCCTGTTTGGTGTTACTAAACCCAAATTTTAAGTAACTGTGACAGAAGGGACTGAAGGACACTAAACTTTGAATCTGTATGTATGCAGTTCTCTGACCCCAAAAGAATTACAAGGAGAGTCTTAGTAACAATTTCACCTGAGGTTCTTCTCTCTCAGAGAGGACCAGAAAAGGCACTTGGAAAAGATACAGATTTTGAGTGTGACAGTTTGTCTGTTCTCAATCCAAACATGCCTAGCATGCAGATACTACTTGATGGTTCAAACAACACAAAATATTCAGGAAGAAAGGAAGGAAGGATATCTTACCCAGAAGAGCAGGGAGAGGGGGTAGTGCTCCTATTTTAATGAATCCAAAAATTTTACCTCCAATGACAGCAAAAAAATAAAGAAACAGAATTCCAAACAGATTTCCACCTGGGAGACACTCCGACCCAGTTATGGACCAAACCACAGCCCAAACAAGGAGCATGACTGCAACTGGAACAAAATGAGAAATAGTCATACTTAATCATCTCTCAGGAAAAACTTTGCTGTTAGATCACATTTGTTTTTCTACTAAAGAAAAAAGTTACCATGACTTTCAGAAATAAAATTAGTTACCTTAAAATTAGTTTAGTCATATCAATGTATTTAATCTTTGATAGTCCCTTAACTGATGTTCCGATTTTATAGATGCTAAGACACTTTAAATATTTAATTTTTGATAGTCCCTTAACTGATGTTCTGATTTTATAGATGCTAAGACACTTTAAAAAATGGTACCAGGAACATCATTAGAGATCAAAATGCACTGAATGAGCCTTGGGCCACTGTGGAAAGCACTTCACATGTTCCAAACTTATGGGAAAGACTTACACTAACTTGTCCTGCATTTGCTTATCTTCTTTCAGCTACTTCAGAGTAATATCTGCTGCTGAACAGCCTGGCAAATCTTCAGCCTAATGACTGCAGCTTCAGTCTAATTTCTAAAAGAATAGGAGTAGAACTTTTCTGGCTGGATGTGTTTGTGCAAAACATTGTTATCTCTGACAAAAAAAAATCTGAAGAAGGTCATGTCCCTGGACAGCCTGAAGTAATAGAGACACTTCCCTTGATACAGCTATCAAAGAGGGATAATACAAAGGGGAAAGCAAATCCTGAAAAATATTTTGAGAGCAGCGAGTGAAAGTATTATAAAATATGTGAAAATATTATGCTCTTTCCATGTTCACAAATCTGTTCCTACAGTTGTCCAACAAGAACAGACATGCATAGATATAAAAGCAGAAACTGAAGGAGAAGAAAAAATGTGTTGAATAATAAAATGTATTGCATCCAATTGTATTGTATCCAATTTTAGATTGGATTTTTTTTTAATCTTACTTGAGAGTGACAGGTGGTAAAGGGAAGACTGGTAGATCTCCAAACATAAAAACCTAAGAATCCCAAGTGAGAGAGAATGGAGGTTGTGGAAGCAGTCAAAGCCACAGGAAGTGTCTTTTGTTAGGAAAAAAACTTAGATAATTTGTTAGCCAGGCATCTCATCCATAAGGTTTCAGTTTAGGACAAATCTTAAACAACATGAGTCCGTTTGCCTGTGTTCTGCCAATTGATGGGGGCAACAGAAATAACAGACACCAATGGAAAAATAGGCTTATTTGACTATTGGTGTTTAAGATAAGAGAAAAATTAATAACATATTCACATATAAGGTCAGTTTACTAAGCTCTAATACAAACAGCACAAGCAACAACAAAGACAGTGAGAAAGGTAATGCACCTAACCATTACTACACACAGGAAAGAACAGTGATTAAGAAAGATACATCACCAATTGCCTTAATACTTTATCATCATCCAGACCCACAGTCCCTGGGGAGCCCCTGGGTGCAGCAAGGGCTTGGAGAGCCTTTCCTGGCAACTGGGAAGTCTTACACAGTATGCCTACTTGGAGCTGAGGTGTCCAAAGTCGCTGCAAGAGGGTCCAGCTTTTATGGGCCAAATTAGCAAGCAAAAAATAACTTTCAGTTTTTTATCATTTGCACAGATAACACCTGGTGGTTCTTCCCTCCAACCAACTGAGGCTGCAGCTTGGCCAGAGCCCAGGACACGGGTGGTGCAGTTTCCTAAGATACCTTATAGACAGGGCATGACCTTGGCAATACTTCAAGGGCAATTATTTAACTGGTACCAAAGTTATCTCTAAGATATTTTGCAGACGGCACCGCGGCCTTGGGCAGATGTAGAGCTATGCAAAGGTTATCTGTATCTATGTTCTACATTAGTTAGTCTAGTTAACTAACACAAAGAAGCACTGTTCACAAGGAGTACAGGATTGATCTCTCAGTCAACTCTGGCTTGGGCCTACTCTCCAAGCCCTAGCATTTCAGCCTAGTAGTGAGGATTCTTGGCTTTGCAAGCCTGGGGAACAATAGAAAGTGCCACTGTAAAGTCTCATATTTGCTGCCTTAATTCAACAAAAAGCCATCCAGTGTGCCAAATATACCACTGTGTATAGAATCACCCAAATGCTCTCATACTGAAACAAATTATCAGGACAAAAATTAGGAGGTTTTTCTTCTCGTGAAAACAGTTTGCAATGCAAAAACATGCCTACCCTGTTAAACACAAAAGAAAGGATGAAGGTACAAAACCTGTACATTCAAATCTTTGTTTCACCTCTTTTTTTTCCTTCTGAAACATCCAAACACAGCTATTTCCCTCCGTTAGTTTCAAGGACAAAGGACAGATACCATCCCATTCAGAGAAACAAGTACTTAATTTGCCATTTCTCATTTTAATTAAACTGTCTTTCTTACATACCATTTGTCACTGTTTGGGCCAGTAAACCCTGAGGAGGACAAGTGAATATTTGCCTCCATGTTCTTGCTGGTATTGAAGACTCTGCTGTTAGCTCTGGAGGTTGCTGAGCAAAATGGTTCAAGAGAGCAGTTTCTTCTGTTTGCATATTCCCATCAGCACCTTTGGCTGTTGGTCCCTGCTGAATGAAAACAAGGAGACTCACTCAGAACTGGCACTCTATATATTTGAAGTAGTGTACAAGACCTGAAGTCAGCTGTGATGCACTAGGTCCACACTGGCTACAGATGACTACATTAACTAAACAACTGCTTCAGGAATCGTCCAGCTTTGTAGTATATTTGGCATTTTTGGTTATGTGTTTGTTTTCACATGGCACAAAGAACTGCATATGGGAGACTGCAATTAACAGGACTCCTGTCCCAATGCAAATAGTGCCACTGCAGCAACAGTATCTGCATATTTGATGAAGAAACAGTAACAACAGAGCAGGTTCAGCTTGTTTTGTATACAGACTAAATATGTATTAATATTTTCTACAGTTTGATAAGGTTCTGCTTCCAGACTGGATTTCACAGTACAGTTAGTGATTAGCATTGTGAGATAGTGTCTTTAGCACAGAATCATCATAGAATCAACCAGG